ACTAAGCAGTGAAATACACTAGTATCATAGTCCCACATTTCTAGAGTCTTCTACATTCTTTACCAAGCAACAGTTTGTAAATTTGTAAGATTTTGTTTGACTAGACTAGACACTATTTTTCGCCTGTCACCCCTCCTGCCATGTACTTTTGCCCATGCAGAGAACTTGTCAGAGACTGAGAGTTTTCTCACACCCCCTCATGTTCATTTGTTTTATTTCTCAGGCGCTGTTGTTGTGTAAAATGCAACAGTGATGATTATTTATGTCTTTATGCGCTTCCTCCATGTACCCACAAGCTAAACAAAAGTGTAGAGAGAGGTGTGAAGCCCAAGCAAGCCTCTTTGACAACTGGGAAAAGGAATGCATCACTGAAGCATGGATACACACTTGCACAAAATGCTGAATCTATATTAAAATCAGTTTGTCTGTGACTCATTTTAGCTTGTGATGTTTAAATGCTGAAATTCAATAGACCTCAGGCCTTCTGACCTACCAGAAAAATGGCAAAAGCTAATTTAGTGCTATTATTTTGTATGTAGAGTGCCTATAAAAAGTAGTGGCCTTTTTCACATTTTGTTGTTCTGACTTAATTTCGTTTTTATGCCACTCATCAACAGAAAATTTTTATAATTTTATCTCATCAAGTCTCTTTTGCTTATCAAGGTTGCATCCATTTGATCATACAATACAGTAAAAAAGTAATAGTTTATATATTTAATATAAAGTGTGTATTTAAAATAACTTTTTTTTATGTTAATATATTGTAAAATCTTATTTTTTCCAGTGAAAAGCTCCATTACTCCAGCCTTCAGTGTCACTTGATCCTTCAGAAATCATTCTAAAATACTGATTTGGTGCTTAAAGGGATAGTTCACCCAAACATGAAAATTGACATCTTTTACTTAACCTTAAGTTGTTTCTATCCTGTATGAATTTCTTCTGTTGAACATAAAATATTTTGAAGAATATGGGTAACCAAACAGTTGATGGACCCCTTTGACTTCCATAGTATGGAAGACAATACTGTGGAAGTCAGTGGGGTCCATCAACTGTTTGGTTACCCATATTCTTCAAATATTTCTTATTTTATGTTCAACAGAAGAAAGCAATTCATACAGGTTTGGATCAACTTAATGGTGAGTAAATTATGACATTTTTGGAAGACTATTAAGAAACGTTCATATTATTATCAATGTTGAAAACAGTTGTGCTGCTTAATATTTTTGTGGAAAACATTTTTAGGATTCGTTGATAAATAGAAAGAGCAGAATTTAATTGAAATAGAAATCTTTCATAGCATTTTAAATGCTTTTACTGTCACTTTTGATCAATTTAATGCATCCTTGCTGAATAAGTTTTAATTTCTTTAAAAAAAAATCTTACTATTCATGGTGTTCTGGACCCCTTAGCAAGTAAATAAATTATAATACTTATATAAATCCACCTCTAACCGGAAGGCAAAATGGGAATTCTGAAGGATTGACAAACTTCAGTGGCTGAGATTGGAGATATTGCACATTTAACTGTTGCTCCAGGGCTTCACTGGCTACATCTTAATGGGAGAGTGTCAAAGATACATCCACCATTTAAAAATATATATATTTATATATATATATCTCAGCACAGCATGTGGGAGACTCTGAAGCCAGTTGGAAGAAGGTTCTGTGGTCTGATGAGACCAAAATAAAGATGTTGGCCATTAGAATAAACGACATGTTTGGCATAAGTCAAACGCTGCACAACAGAAATACACCATCCCCACAGTGAAGCACAGTGGTGGCAGCATCATGCTGTGGGAATGCCTGGCAGGCTTGTGAGGATAGAGGGTAAAAAACAAATAAATAAATAAAAGCAGTACAATACAGGCAAATCCTAGAGGAAAACCTGATGAAGACTGCAAGGTACCTCCGGCTTGGCAGAAGATTTATTTTGCAGCAGGACAATGACAAGCGTAAATCCACAGATACACAGAAATAACTGAAAAACAACATTTATGTCCTGGAGTGATTGTGTTCACATGTCAATCCAACTGAGTTTGAGCAAAGTATGAATGAGGAAGAATTGCAGTGGCCAGATATGCAAAGTTGATAAGAGACCCACATACAGACTCTGGAATTATTTCTAAAGTTGCATTGTGTTTTAATGTTGTAAAACAAAACAACGGGGAATACACTGCAGATTAATTAGTGCTGCTGTCAAATTTAACATGTTACCTTGTGAGATTATTTAAATGTTTCAACTGTTCCATATTTTTTGTGCTCTTTCTAAACACTGGTTGAACTGATTCAAGCTCTGCAGCACAGGTTTCCATGATGTGTTCAATACACAGAAATATAAAAATATAAAAAATGCTTGAAATAGATGTATGGCAGAATTGCTCTTGGGTTAAAAAGAAGACCAGCTGAGAACTGCTTCAGAATTTTTTTTTAAAGGGGTCATATAATGCGATTTAAATTTTTCCTTTCTCTTTGGAGTGTTACAAGCTCTTGGTGCATAAAGAAGATCTGTAAAGTTGCAAAGACTAAAGTCTCAAATCCAAAGAGATATTCTTTATAAAAGTTGAGTCAACCACGCCTACCTAAAACGGCTCGTTCTAACACGCCCCCACATGTCTACGTCACGATGTGGGAAGATTTGCATAACGCCGCCCAAATGTTCACGCAAAGAAAGAAGGCGTAACTTTTATTCTCGCTGTAGTATTGTTGTTGCCGCCGCTGCCATGTCGTGAAGACACTGTGTGTTTCGTTGTGAAAACGAAACTACTTTGTTTGGCCTTCCAAAACAGGATGATATCCGCTTCGTCATGCTGAGTCAAGCTGATCTGTGCTGGTTGCTGAGGAAATACATCAACTTCGTGCTGTGGATCGCCAGATCGGCTTTCACCGTGGACGAAGTGGAGTCCAGCCCGGGGTCGTCACGTGGTTGCCGCAAGCCCGCCGGATGCTCCTTCATCGAATCCGCCGGCCGCGCCGTTCTCAAGCCCGCTGGCCGCTGCTCACTCTAGGCCTCAGGCCTCCACAGTAAGTTTTTTATATTTAAAGAATTTTCCACTGACGATTCAAACGTGAGTTTTGAACAGTGTAGAGTAGCACTTGTTGTTTGTCGTTTCTCCAGACATTGTTTTATGTTTACGCAGCGCTATACACAATGCGTAAAAAGACAGTATAAGTCATTATAATCAGTA